CCCCAAAACCCCAAAACCCCAAAACCCCAAAACCCCAAGATGGTTAAGATAGATTGAACTAAGAGTCTTTAGAAAATAACTTCACAAGGGCAGGGGTGCACAGACATATTGTAATGATACTAATTCCAATATAGTCTGTATAGAAGAACATATAGCCGAATATAAATACATCTGAGAGTAAAGTGAACACATTTTCGAGGTAGTTCAATGGAGCAAGTCTGGACGAACTTTGATATTCTAGAGCACAGCCAGCGAATGATTGGTTAGCTATGAGCCCTATTCCTACCATACTGAGGAAGGCTAAGTCGTATAAAGAATAGTAAGGAAATAGCATCTTCTGAGGATAAAAGATATATCCCCCAAAACCAAAAAGAGTCAATCCAAGAGATGAGTAAAATGGGTAAAGAATAGCGTCTACTCCATATAAAGCAAGGACTCTTTGTGATATAATAATGCCAGCTTCATTCCATGCACTTATAAAGACCAGCATGAGCCCAAATGTTGCATTAGAATTAGGTTTTCCATCATGACCAGTCTCATTAATCGTCAAGAAGTATATCCCAAATAAAGCTAAGAGTGAAAATAGTATTGACAGAAAGTCAACTTTCTCTCTCAGGAAGATGTACGCGATGAAGATGCAGAACAAAGGATGTAAATTAAACACAAGAGTTGCCTTGCCTACAGAGATCAAACTTAGTGACCACATCACCACAAAGTGTCCACATCAAGAGCAAATAGTTGCTATCATCATTAAAATTTGGACTTTCCAGTCATACTTAAAAATACTAACCGTGTTCCCTTTAATTTTGTTGCCAATGAACCCTATTGGGAGAGTAGTCAGTCCTAGAATTAGGACTCCATCCATGATGCCAAGATTAGGATTATGAAAGAAGGCCATCTTCTCTCAAATATGGATAATTGCAATTCCAAACATAGAAATAAACATTAGAGAATAACCTAACATTATTTTCTTCCAGGTATTGTTCTTCTCCTCGCTCTCTTTAGTCAGTTCTTTAATAGTCCCAGCCTCGTTAGAATCTTCAAACTTTTGGAACTTCACTTGTGGGCTATACTCAGAAAGAGTCCTTGCAGTTCCTTTCGATACTTCAATATCTTTTTTAACACTCATTATTAATTATGTTCTGTTTTCAATCATTATCTAAGTGACGGGGTTTTGGGGTTTTGGGGTTTTGGGGTTTTGGGG